CCGGGATTTGAACCGTGCAGTGCCCGTTAGCCACGAGGCCCGCTGAGCACTAACGTCACCATGCCCCTGCTGTGCGTGTGCCCCAGGGAAGGGCGGGAGGCCTGGGGTGCCAGTGCGTGGCCGGTGGTCTGGCCCTGCCCCAGCTGTGGGCAGGTGCAGACCGGGGTGTCTGCTGTTCCCTGCAGAGTGTGGGGCCAGGCCTGCCATGGAGAAGCCCACCCGGATCGTGGGCGGGGCGGCCGCCGCCTCGGGGGAAGTGCCCTGGCAGGCCAGCCTGAAGGAGGGGTCCCGGCACTTCTGCGGGGCCACCGTGGTGGGGGACCGCTGGCTGCTGTCTGCCGCCCACTGCTTCAACCAGTAAGCCCGACTCCACAGGGCCCGGCTGCCTGGGGCCCCGCTGAGGAATCACCGTGGGGGGCCGCAGGAGCCCGGGGAGAGTGGGGCCTCAGCCAGGCTTGGGAGGCAGGCAGGGCCCGCCAGGAAGGGGGCCCTCCCCTCGGCTCACGCCCTCACCACATTCAGTAGCTTTTAAAAATCAGTGATGGAGCGTGTGCATGTGCGTGAGAGGGAGGGGGCGCCCCACGGGCCGACCACGTGCTGCCCCTCCTGTAGCCGGCCGGTCCTGGGCGCTCACATGCCCCCTGGGCTCAGGCTGACCAGGCCGGGGATCCACACCTTGGTCTCCACGTGGGATGGCCTGTCCCGAGCAGTGCATGGCCCCCGCTCCACGCTGGCCTGGGCAGCTGATGTAACACTGCGGGGTCCCTGAGACCCCAGGGTTCCCTGGCGTGCCCAAGGCCCCCGCCCTGGGACTGATCTCCGCCCTCCCTGGCACCGAGGGTCTGAGCAAGGACCCAGCCCGGCAGCTCCTCCTGGCTTCCTGGGGGCGGTGAGCAGGGCGTCTGAGGGTCCGATCTCCGCAGCACTAAGGCAGAGCTGGTGGGCGCCCACCTGGGCACAGCGTCCCTGCTGGGCGTGGGCGGCAGCCCGGTGAAGGTGGGGCTCCGCCGCGTGGTCCTGCACCCCCTCTACAACCCCGGCGTCCTGGACTTCGACCTGGCCGTGCTGGAGCTGGCCCGCCCGCTGGTCTTCGGCAAGTTCGTGCAGCCCATCTGCCTCCCGCTGGCCGCCCAGAAGTTCCCGGTGGGCCGCAAGTGCATGATCTCCGGGTGGGGCAACACGCAGGAGGGCAACGGTGAGCACCACGGGGCAGCGCCGCCAGGCCTGGCGGGGGTGGTCGCGGCTCAGCGTCCCGTCCCGTAGCTGGGCCCCCGCGGCTGGG